CTCTCTCTGTGTCTCTGACTCTCTCTCTTGCTCGACAGTCTGCTCAGGCAACGCTGCCCTTCATGCTGCTGCTGCTGTGTTGCATGCCAGCACATAACATGTGCTGTTCTTCGTGGTCACCACATAAGTGCATGTGTAGACATCCCAAACGAGCCCTGGCAACCCTGGCACCTTGCAGGTCTGCTGTCGCTTTCGACCGGCAAGCGCGGCAAGGGCTCTCATGGACCTTGGTTTAATGGTTGGTGCACGCGGATTACCGATCTCAAGGCGCAGCGCCTCTTCGCTGCATTGGCCAGACTTGCGTGGGCAGGCCGCGAGGCAGCCTTAGCTGTTGCCGAGGTACGATGACACTGATCTTGGGCTCCTTTCAGAATACGGAGCCGCAGTGGTCAGAGGCCTTGTCGGCTGCTTGCCAAGCACCGAAGTGGTGGATTGCATTTTTGGCAGGTGTACACCGCTGTCCTAGTGGCAGAAGCAGATGGTGAGCAGCATGTGGAGCAGGTCACTGATAAGCACCCTCTTGCTCCGGTGCGAGCTGCACTGTGGCAGGTGTTTTCAGATCCAGCACAGGTCGCTCTGGCATGTCCCTCTTACTTCGGTGTAGACATGTGTAGACGAACAAGAATTCAACGGAATTCCCAGGCGTTGATGCAAAATGCGGATGTGCCATCCCTTGAGCTGACACATCGCTACCATGGCAGCAACTCCTGGACTCTGCCTCTCGGGAGCCTTTGTCGGCAGTCTGATGGCCTTCTTTCCAGGAGCCAAAGAGAGTGCTAGACCCACGCAAACCCACAGCTCCAAACTCGCGTCCCTCCGGAAAGTGCAAGTGCACCGAGTCGGCCAGAGAGAACGAGGCTGTGTTACGTGGCAAGGGAGTTTTCATGCAGTTTTTGGCTTTCTCACTTCAGAGTGTCATGGGCGAGTATGAGGCTACAGGAAAAGGCGGGATCACCGTATGGCCGTATGGGCTCAGGAGATTTCAGACAAACGGCTCCAGCTCATCCTTCGTCTCTTGGATTCGTTCAGCCGTGCAGTGCTAGTTTCTCTGCGAGAGTCGAGAGGGCATGGCATAGAAAGTGTGGACGACAAGCTGTCAGGATTTCAGCTTCCCTTCTGGGTTTCGCCTGTCGGCGCAACTCTCGGGCCGAATCCTTTGGAATGCAGACAAACCTCTCGAAGGTCCTGAAGGCTGGGTGCAGCGACTACCCTCAGCGATGCTGCCACCCGGCCTGATCTAAGTCAATTTTAGAAGCATCATTTTTGGTCGGTCATTGCTTCCACACTTGATGGTTACTTGTTCGAAGCTGCATTCTCCGACTTTCGCACGTGTCTGCGTCGTTGTACCGGCAGAATGAAGGCGGTGGCTGTGCCGTTGTCATGCATTGCAAGAGCATGCAGGGACGCGTTACTAAAACAAGACGAACCAGCCGCACTTGAAGGTTCTGCTATGCACAGCCCCATTCCCACTGATCTCACGAAAGTTGGTTTTGCAGGAGCGAGTTGGTCTTGAAAACTGCTAGCTGCTGATTTTCCTACGTATTCCCATGTACTTAACAGTGCACGGCACATCACAGTTCACGCACTTTTCAGCCGTGGCCGGTCGAAACTGACAGAAACTGCGCTCCCGCTCAACTTTGACTCATCCGAACGGTCGTTTTGGTCAGAGGCCAACACACTACTTCGTGGAAACGCTGGCGTCACCCACAGACTATGAGCTGAACGGCCTGCAAGGCCAAGGTTTCGCTCACCAGGCTCCGAATTGTTCAGACGGAAGTGCCCTTGCTTTGCGGATTCGTTGCGATGTTGCTCACAGGAGATGAACTACGGAAAGCGATTTCCATCAGCCTTCGTCTGGTCACAGGGCATCGCAGACGGAGGAACAACTCAGCTTGTCTTGACGGGTGGCAAGCTTCTTGGGTTTGAAAGCTGTTTGCTGCCACTCCGTGGCATGTAGCACGAGAGCTTCAAAGTTTGCAGACTCGTTTTCAGATGTATCGTGAACGCGAAGGTTTACCATATCGGGTCTGACCACGAACCAATACATCCTAGCGTTCCGCTCCAAACATCGTCAGTGGACCTTCCGGACCATCGATGGGCACGGATTTCGTGATGAGGCTTCAGCGCATCACATGCCTATTTTTTGGCCAGAGTGTGGCCTGTGTTTGCTTCTTCAGGGTGAGGGTCATACCACCTGCTAGCCAGTGAGGTGTTATTGCTTTTGCAGCTTAGCTTTCTGCACTTCTTGTTTACATTTGCCCCAGGTGGATGGCTGCAATGGCACGTTCTCCCTGATAGCTAGATCGCGGGGTCGCCGGCTGGAGCTCATGATTTCGGCCCCGTTGAGCAGCGGCCCGCAACGAACAGCTAGTTGACAACCGCTTTGCAAGTTCCGGCATTGGCCATAGGTCATATGGCATACCGGAGATTGTTTCTGCAAGCAAGCATGTGCCAGGTTTCTCGGAGAACATCTTTGTGCCAACTGCCAAAGGGTTTAGCCGAACTCCGGGGAGCACGGAAACTCACACGGCGACTGCGGTCGTTCGACTGTGGGCCGCTTGCCTCTGCAGGTGCTGCGACTGCTTCTGTGATTGTGATGACGATTGTAGCGCGCAGAGTCCGCAATGTGCCGAGAGCTGAGGAGGCTCGACAGAAGCGGGTCGCAGAGTACGCCACGTTCAAGCAAGCAGCGCTGGAGCTTCGACTTGTACCAGCAAAGATCTCGTGTCTAAGCCAAGCCACAAGAACTGTCAAGTGACTCTTTATGACTCGTCTCTGCCGTACAGCCTTGAGGAGTTCGGTGGCCATTACAACTGCGCAGATCCATCGACGAGGGCAGCACCGGCACCGAGTCAAGGATCTCAAGAGGTAGCTTTTGTTGGCTTCCAGGAGCCCAAGAGTCGATTCAGAGGCGGCCGCAGCCGCAGCCACAGCTTGGGTCGCGGGAATCTGGCGGTCGTTGCGCGAAGATCTGCAGCTCCAGCCGCGCTCTGGGCCGGGGCGCTCGCAGCAGCTCTGCTGCTCAGGGCAAAATTTCGGCAGAAGCAAAGGACTCTGCAAGAGGGCATTGCAGACTTTTACGATGCCTCAACGGGCGTTTGGGTGGAGATCTGGGGGGATCACTTGCACCATGGCTACTACGAGGACAGTTGACACAGTGGCATCATAAGATGTTCCGGGATGGGGTGGTCTTGCATTCCATTCTGCGGTGTCTGCGAAGGACAACTCATGGAGATCTCTGAAGCAGCACCGAGAGGCCCAAGTCCGGATGATCGAGGAGGTTCTGAGTTGGGCAGATGTCTCATCAGACCGTGCTCCACAAGCGATCCTGGATGTCGGCTGCGGAGTCGGAGGCTCTTCCCGCTACCTGCAGAAGAAGTACGGTGCAAAGGTCACCGGCATCACTCTGAGCCCCAAGCAGCAAGCACAAGCCACAGCGCTCTCCAAGTCACAGCCCGACTGCACTTTCCAAGTTGCGGATGCACTGAAGATGCCCTTTGCAGACAACTCTTTTGACCTCGTGTGGTCGCTCGAAAGCGGCGAGCACATGCCGGAGAAAGCCAAGCGGCTTGGCACCAGATCGTCTTCACGATTGTCGTGATCCGAGTCAACTGAGGTTTATGAGTGAAATGCACCGTGTTTGCAAACCTGGTGGCCGTATCATCCTTGTCACCTGGGTGCACCGAAATCTGGAAGCGAACGAAGCGCTGACGTCGAAGGACCACTTAGTGGATTCTGGTCCCAGATGTGCCGATGCAAGGGCCTGCATTGTCATCAGTGTGCTAGCATCAGTCTGCAATTCAGGAGGTGCGCCTCCTCAAGCGCATTAGCCAGGCGTACCACTTGCCAGATTGGTGCAGCATGGACGACTACTGTCACATAGCCACAGAGAAGTTGGGCATGTCAGGCCAGGGACTCGCACTCACTAACAAGACCAGCACGCTGTAGAAGAGAATTGCTATAGGCGGCTCTTGCTGCATCCGGCATTCATCATCATTAGATCCGGGTGTGGCAAGGGCACGACCCAGGCATCCGAAGCGATGACTGGTCCAAGTTCATTGCGCCCTTCTGGTCAGCCGTAATCCAGACGGCCTTGCAGCCGCGGGGTTGGTGGGCGCTCGCAAGAGGCCGTGTCAGGGAAGTCGAAGTCGCCACTGTCGACCAATTGCACTTTTTGCAGGTGGCCTGGAGACCTTCCGCGGTGCTTTGGTGATGCCTCTCATGAACCGGGGCTATCGAACTGGAACGGTTCGCTTTGGCTTGATGACGGGATGCAAGGTGCAAGGCCAGCTCACGATTTGCCACTGGTCACTAGACATGGCCATTGCTCGCACAACTTATGACTGCGGTGAATGCCATTGATTGCTGTGGCTACCTTTTCCAGTGCATCATTGCACTGACACGGCGAGCAGTCGCATCCAAGAATGGATAGCTGCACGGACATCATGTGCTTGCTGTTTGCCAGGCGGTGATATTGCTGCTGCAAGTACGGCTGCGGCTTCTGCACCGTCAGCGCTGTCGGTATGGAAAGCAAAGCCAAAACGGCTGGCGCTCTGTGGCGCTTTGGGGCAGGCTGGTTGAAGAAACGAGTTTTGAGGCCCCTGACTACTGTGCTTCCACATCCTCACCGTGTATTAATTAATCTGGCTGAACAGGAACAAGGGGGTGCGGGGCGGGTGTTGTTCCTCAATTCCCCACATTGTGTTGTGCATAGGTGCTCGGTTTTGCACAGGTGGTCTCATCTTCGACCACGAAATCCTCGAGACTTGCCCCTTGGATCCATCTCGGCCGGCAGAGGGAACGCGAATAGCAACTACACAGATCAAAACCATGAAAGCCGACGCGACACAGAGGTGAATGCAACATAACGACTCAGCAAGTCTTAGTGTTGCAGTACTCGATGCAGTGGCGAAGTGATGGGAAGTGTAAGCCGGGTGATTGAAATCCATAGCCTCAAAGGCCCATAGGAACTCGAAGGTGCGTGCCCGGGATGCTGGATGAAAGGCAGAATACTTTCGGTGGGAATGCATGTTGACTGTGTCATGGTCATGAAATGCAGTGTTGCGATGTGTCTTATTTTGCCCTTAGGCAAAACTCAAAACCCGATCCATACCCATCCCAGTGTTTTGCAGATCCTTCAGTTCTCAGGCAGCCTTGCTGGCCAAGGTAAAGACCGTCTGGGACACTTAGAAGAGATTCAGTGAGAGGATCTGATCCAACGCTTTGTTGGCCTAAATGCTAACGTTTTCCACGGTGTGTTTTCGGCGCTCCTTCCTGCATGCCTGCCTGCAAGCTATCGGTAAGGATTTCACGCGCCCCCACACATTGATCGGGACCGTCATCTCGATCACGACGGTAGCTCGGCAACATCCATCAGCATGAACATCTCACTCTGCAGTATCTTGATGTGTCTCTTTCCACTTCGCCTACCGGTTGAATCGCAGCAGCTCCTGTTGTTTGAGGTACACCTCTTTGCCGTGGCTCCGCTGCCTTCCATCAGCTGGCCGGCCTTCGCAATCCAGACGCTCCGGGCACTGGTGCCGGCGATGCTCGTGAATGCGACTCTGGCGTGAAAAGTAGATAGGACTGGGACTTGGAACACCAATCTCACAGGCTGTCTCGCACCGGAGCCAAGGTCTACATCACTGGCCTCAACCAGATCTACGATGCAACTCGGACGGCAGTTTGCAGGCAACGTCTCGAAACCTTGGTTCTCATTAGGTCGAGATCGATCGCCAGTCGCAGGCTCAGCCGTGCTACGGTTGCGCAAGCTGCAGCTTGAACACCGTTTCGGCAGCTGAGGAACAAGCCATATCTCCCGATTCCCTCTGGACGACTCTCCAATGGCTCTGCATGGCTGATCGTGCTTGGCTCTCTCTTCGGTGCAGAGGCCGTGACATGCACCTATGAGAGCCTTAGCTCGAGCTGGGCAGCAATCAGCTTTCCACGCGAAGTAGACTTCACGATTTGCTGAGGACGGCCGGCGTCATGGCGCTTCAGTTCCCTTTGATCGCAAGTGCAATCCTGGGCACAGCTTACTCAGTGCCACCCTTTCGCTTGAAGCGCTTTCCCTTTCTGGCTGCGCTGAGTAGCTTGGTCATTGGGTGGTTATCCTGATTTCTTGCGCTCGTGTTCCTGATGCTCTGCAAGAAAAGACCCAGCAAGGCATCATTGTTGTTCGCGGTGTGGTCGTCAACATGGGCTTCTACTATTACATTGGGCATGCCCTTGGTGTAGCAGGCTTTGGTAGTTGCGCAGCATGGGCCCGTCACTGCTGTCTGCCGTGCAGGACAGGTGTCGACATTCCGAAGCGCAATGGCTGCAGCATTCTTTGCAGCCTTCGGCTTGGTGATAGCCTTGATGAAGGACCGTCGCTTTCGCTTTCCTGTGTCAGCAGCCATGGGGATGCAGACGATGATGTATGCTTGTATAACTTGTACATGTTTGGAAGGATCGTCGTCTGCCCTGTGCCTTTAACTACTTGCAGAGCTTCCCGAATTGCAAGGTTTATGTCAGGAG